GAAATCTGATGAGGTTCAACAAGGACAAGTGCAGAGTACTGCACTTAGGATGGAAGAATCCCATGCACCGCTACAGGCTGGGGACTTACTGGCTAAGTAGCAGTTCTGCAGAAAAGGACCTGGGGATTATGGTGGATGTGAAGCTGGATATGAGTCAGCAGTGTGCCCTTGTTGCCAAGAAGGCTAACGGCATAACGGGCTGCATTGGTAGGAGCATTGCCAGTAGATCGAGGGAAGTGATTATTCCCCTCTATTCAGCACTGGTGAGGCCACATCAGGAGTATTGCATCCAGTTTTGGGCCCCCCACCACAGAAAGGATGTGGACAAATTGGAGAGTCCAGCGGAGGGCAACGAAAATGATCAGGGGGCTGGGGCACATGACTTAAGAGGAGAGGCTGAGGGAACTGAGCTTGTTTAGTCTGCAGAAGAGAAAAGTAAGGGGGGATTTGATAACAGCCTACAACTACCAGAAGAGGGGGGTTCCAAAGAGGATGGAGCTCAGCTGTTCTCAATGGTGGCAGATGACAGAACAAGGAGCAATGGTCTCAAGTTGCAGTGGGGGAGGTCTAGGTTGGATATTAGGAAACACTATTTCACTAGGAGGGTGGGGAAGCACAGGAATGGGTTACCTAGGGAAGTGGTGGAATCTCCATCCTTAGAGGTTTTTAAGGCCCAGCTTGACAAAACTCGCTGGGATGATTTAGTTGGGATTGGTTCTGCTTAGAGCAGGGGGTTGGACTCCTGAGGTCTCTTCCAACACTAATCTTCTATGATTCTACTGCTTAATGAATTCAAATATCTTCAACAGTAGCTAATCTTTTCAAGCTCCCCTATTATTCTCAAATTCACAGCTAGTAAGTACTGCACATAGGAACATATAAAAAGAGGAATTGCCTTCTAATAAGAAGTTTATAGGACTTCTCACAGTGGATTAGATTAGTGGTCCGTCTAGTCCAGTATTTTCTCTCAGAGGGGCCTGCACCAGATACTTCAGGAGAACGTGCAAGAAACCCCATTTGCTAATCATGGAATAACATCCCCACAGGGGAAGTTTCTTCCTAACCCTTGTCAGTTAGTGGTTGGCTCATGCCATGGAACATGAGGATTTATGATTTTCTATGTCAAGTGTTAGCTCCTATAAACATCTTTTTTGGATCTTTTAAAAAAAAGTGCCAGTGAAGAAAGTTTGAGTTTTACAAGTATCAATAATAACATTGCCTTCAAAGGAAATTTTGTTCACTCTGTACTGACAGTATAACACAGGGGTTGGCAACCTTGCAGAAGTGGTGTGCCGAGACGTCATTTATTCACTCTAATTTAAGGTTTCGTGTGCCGGTAATACATTTTAATGTTTTTTAGAAGGTCTCTCTGTATAAGTCTATATATTATATAACTAAACTATTGTATTGTAAAATAAACAAGGTTTTCAAAATGTTTAAGAAGCTTCATTTAAAATTAAATTAAAATGTCGATCTTACGCTGCTGGCCTGCTCAGCTCGCTGCTGCTCAGGGGTTCCATCCGCCAGCTCCTGCCTGCCGGGATCCCAGTTGCCGGACCCACTCAGCCCGCTGCCGGTCTGGGGTCCTGGTCCTGCCCACATACATACCTTCTCCCTGGTTCTGGCCCATTCTCTTCCTCTCTCTCTGAACTGAGCTGAGAGTGGGAGTACACTGAGCACAGGGCTGGGGGTGAAGGAGCAGGCTGGGGGTTGGGATGTAGGATCTGACCAGGAGCTAGAATGAGGGAGGGGGCTCAGGGTTGGGGCAGGAGGTTTGGGTGTGGAGCACTTACCTGGGCAGCTCCCATTTGGTGCAAGGGATGCAGGTGGGAATGTGGGGGGGGGCGTGCAGGAGCTCCCATTTGGTGCAAGGGATGCAGGTGGGAATGTGGAGGGTGCAAGAGTCAGGATGTGGGG